GGAGTTCCGGGAGCACCGGGGGTACCAGGAGCACCAGGGCTGCCAGGAGTTCCGGGAGCGCCGGGAGTACCAGGGCTACCAGGAGTACCAGGGCTACCAGGAGTACCGGGAGAGCCAGGAGTACCAGGAGCGCCTGGAGTGCCGGGAGCACCGGGGTGACCAGGAGTACCAGGAGTACCAGGGCTGCCAGGCGAACCCGGAGTACCAGGCACATGCGTAGGCTCAACGGGGCAGACAGTCGTACCGATGGTGACAGTAGTAACGGTAGTGATGGTCGACTCAGCCGGGCAATTCTTCATCGTGGTGGGGCAAGCGGTGATGGTGACGGTGGAAGTGGTGACGATAGTAGAGGTGGTGAACAGCGTCGTTGAAGGCGTGGGCGCAGGAGTAGGAGTTGGCTCGTCGCATCCGTACTCGCAGTCTGGGTTGTCAGATGGAGTGGGCTCAGGAGTAGGAGTCGGCTCGTCACATCCGTATTCACAATCTGGGTTATCAGAAGGCGTTGGGGTAGGTTCGTCGCAGCCATATTCGCAGTCTGGGTTGTCCGACGGGGTGGGTTCAGGAGTCGGCGTAGGCTCATCACAGCCATACTCGCAGTCTGGGTTGTCAGACGGCGTAGGAGTGGGCTCATCACAGCCGTACTCGCAGTCCGGACCGGAAGGAGTAGGCGTGGGCGTCGGAAACTCTGAGGTGGTCTCTGGCTCACAGTAGCAGTCCTCGTCATAGTCGGGATCGCACTCTTCGGGCTCGTCGCCCGGATAGTCGGGTTCCTCGCCCGGGTAGTCAGGCTCGTCCTCCGGATCATCCTCGCAGTAGTCATCCTCGTCCTCTGGGCTTTCGGTTGGGGTTGACTCCGGAAGAGATAAGGTGGGTGTAGGATCAAGCTCTGAGGTGGTAGGCAGTAACGATGGAGTGACAATAGGTGGGATTTCGAGAGTTGGGGTTTCAATGGGCGGAAGTTCGATAGTCGGGGTTTCAATCGGTGGCAGTTCGATGGCAGCGGCGTTGCCGGCCATGGCCAGAGCCACGATACATGATACCAACTTCATCGCGTCTTGATTACAGACAGTAAAGAACGAATGTTTTTCTTCTCACGAGTTTCGACTGTAGGAAAGGAAAGGAACGAAAGACAGGACACCCGCAGAAGAAAAGTCCACTGGCAATCCACGAAGGGGATTCAAGGGCTTTCATACTTGGCCTTCATACCTAGAGGCCCCTCTCCCCCAACGTGTCTATCGAACGCCATCGTGCTCTACCTTTTCCGGCGTGAATGGTAATAAAGGCTTGACGCCACACGACGCCCGGATTGGCCGTTTCAGTACAACCTCAGGCGGATTCTGGAGTCGACGCTTTCGGCGAGGCCTTCGCGATGCCGTCGGCAGACACTGACTGGGAAAGACCGCCATTTCATTTTGCCAACCGAGAACTTATACTGTTTTGGGGGGCTGTGGCTGTTGCGCTAGACGGTATGTGGGACTGGCGGATTCCGTAGACGGGCGTCCAGAACACCGCGCCCCTGACTCCCGTTATGCTTTTCTTGGTAGACGCGCATTTCGCTCGCCAGCGTGCGCTCGCTGCCGCGAGTAAACAATATACCCTGCGAGAGTCTGTGTCGTAGTCCGTCATGCGTTTGGGCGTTTGTGGTTATGGTAAATTGACCTTGGCATGGCGTTGCTTGTTGCTCTCGAGTGGTCTCGCCAAACATAGTGGCTAAGAAGTATGCTTAGTGACAGACGACTGACTGTGTCTGGGGCCTGGAGGTAACTTTGATACCTTCGTGTCGGGGTCTCCGTTCCTGGCGTCGAGACGATACTTCATCTAATGTCTGCAAAAGCTTTTCCTAGATAATTTCGAGATATACAGAATCTCTTGCATATACGTGACCCTACATGACATTGAGTCGTTCGAGGTCGAATATACCCATCTTCGCCCACACGACATCGAGTCGATCAAGTCCTGAGTCCTGACACGCTCGCTCGCGCAAGAAGCGTGAAACGGCAGCAGTGCTACATGCCAACGCACGCGGTGTGTAACAGGAAGAGCATGCTGTGTACGACAGTCTAGATCTCACTATAGAGTGCTAGTAGTAACTAGTGAGAGCATCAGATTGTGCCTATGTCTGTGATCCAGTGGTACAGTAAGGCTGCATGTTTAGTGGCGCATCTTGTGGAAATGAACTGCATGCCTGCGTGCCTGCCCCTGGCGATTGCCCTATACTGCCTCAGGCCACAACTCCGCCACACCGCCCGCATACACGACGCCTCAGGCACCTATTCTGCCACCACGCGAATGACGCATGTCTCCCATCTTCCAAAAAAATACACAACACACCACACCACCATAACACATCACCATGACCACTGTTCCAGAGACAACCCCATCCCCATTCACATTCTCCACCACCCACCCGATCCACCGCCAATACCACTTCCCACCCTTCTACACGCCCCAACCCATCCTCTCCACCCACCACGCCCAACTCTCCCAATGGGCCGTCCTAATCCTCGACTACTGCCGGCACAACCGCATCTACTCGCTCTCGCTCTCCCAGGTTTCCTACTCCAAGGGCACGCGGCCGGACCTGAGCGCGCACCCGCACGCCGTGCTGTTCTACAATGCGGCCATTCCGCGGTGGGTTGAACCGGCGTTTGCGCGGGAGATTGTGGACTGGATGGCTGGTGAGGAAGGGGGGATGAAGGCGGAGTGGCGGGATAAGGTGGGCGGCTCGGGGAAGAAGGGTGAGGATGCGGCGACGGGGGATGTGTTTTGGGTGTATTGGCGGAGGCCGGAGGAGTGGGCTGGGGTGATTGAGGGGTGGGTTGAGGGGAGTGGGCAGAAGGGTGTTGTGTTGACTGTGTATGAGCTGTTGAATGGCGATGCGACGGCCAAGGAGGAGTGGAGGGGTATGGACGAGGAGTTGATGGTGAAGAGCTTGCAGATTCTGGTCAAGAGAGGGCGCGCGCAGGTCTTTGGTGGGGATGGACAGTTGGGAGTCAAGTTCTTCTGAAGTTCTTGCGATGTTGGACATATGCGGGATATATATGAAGAAAGTAAGAAGACTCTTGCGCCAGACAGGAGAAGGAAGACGGGCACCTCGGACCAGCAACGAGCAACTCCCAGAACATGGTAGAGAACGCCAATATGTCGCTGTCCCAACCAAACAATACCCACACTCCAACGCGCCGGGGATCCACTCTATACCCGAACCCTTATCGGAATATGCCATAATCTTCATGAGTCCTTTTCGTCGATCAGATGTTCCTTCTCTACTCTGGAGACCTTCTGGTCCATGGCAGTCTTCAACAACCAATTGACGTCTACTATCCGCGGTATCATATCCACATTCTTCGCCAGGCTGCGAAACTTGGGCCACATCAATTCATCTTTCCTCTCGCGAGAGCTGATCAGATAGATGTACTCCTTGTCGCCTTCGCCGTATGGATCTTGCTCTTGGCTTTCCGTATTGGCAGCAACAGCCTTGACTTCACGCTTCGAAACGTTCATATTAGATCGTCCGGTATAAAGCTGGCACGTGCCACCGTTGGCGACGGCTATGTCTCTCATCGTTTCGTAGCCCGAAGTCACGTTTCCGGTGCAGAATAATGCGAGACCTTCCAACAGCTTGCCTTGATTCCGCTGGGCTCGGGTCAACGTCTGCGTGAGGTTGATGTCGAACTTTTTCTCGTTTTCTCGGTCGCTCAGTATGAATTGATGTGGGTCTGGCAGCTCATGGTGCTTCAGGGCGTAGTCTAAGAAGTCGGTTGAAACCACCACGGGTGCGTGAGCCAGGGCTCGAAGGAAGTTCTTCGTGCGAATGAGATTCGGCGCACAGAGAATCATGTCTGGACGAGGGTCTCCAGTCACCCAAAGTCCGAGCTGACGTAGTTTCATCTGCACAGTGTTAGGATGATATACAGTCCAAAAAGGAGTATATGCCAGAGGACTTACCTTGTCTGCTGATTCTTTGGTCTCGTTTCCTACCCATGCTTTATATCCGGTGACCATGAGCCAGTACTCGCGTTCTACTTTGCCAACTGGTACCGCCTTGGGACGCCCTTGCTTGGACTTTGTCTTCTTCGGTGGTGTTGCCTTTCTTTCCTCCTCTTCCTCTTCCGCATCTGGTTCGACGGACCGTTTCCGTTTCTCTGACTCTTTCCTATCTCTACCGTGTATCACGCCACCAACCCTCTTCATTTCCTTCTCAAACTTGGCCATGTCGGGTGCCATATCACTGAGCTTGGCCATCGCACGAGCCTTTGCACCTCTCCCAGCGGTTGACGGTGTCTGATTCTCCTTGTCTCCTTCCACGGGATGACGCTCTGCTGATTGCCCTTCCACTGGTTGCCGTCTAGTCTTCTGAGCGACCGGTGTGCTGGTCTGAGCCGCCGGTCGAGCTTTAGACTTTTTGACAACACCGGGCCTTGGTGGTGCAGTCTCGGTATAGTATTTCTCTACAGCCTTAGGATCAAGGCTAGTTTGACCAACGGCCTCGCCGAGATTGGTGCCCTTTGGAAAGTAAACATATTTTGGGTTGGTCATTGACATCTCCTCGCACTGCGCATAGCTTTCCTCCAGCCAGATATGGTTCAGAATGTGGATATTCCATTCTTGTGCCGCTTCACACTTGGCACCATCCATATATGCAGTGATCAGATGAGTATCTTCCTGTGTCATTTTGCGATCCAAGTGAGCCCCAGTGACTTTGACAAGATCTTGAAGGTAGTCTCGCGCCAGTCCTGTATAATTTGAAATGCTTATGTGGTACTTGTCGAAGCCAGGAATTCCATTGCGAGGGACCGGATAATGGAGCAGCTTGCGGAAGGGCGACCTCCATCTGTTACTCCTTATTATGTCAAAAAGCCAGGCGAGATTCCCCACATCTTTCCCTGCTCTTGACGCTTCCACGTAATCAGGGCCGTCTCTGTACCTGCAAATCAAGATGTCTGTCGCCTCGATGTCGTCCGTAAGAGATCCTCCGCTTTCTTCCACAACTTTAGCAATATTATCCGTGAGGTGAACGCTAAGCTCTAGGTCCTTGCAGATCTTCAACTTCTTGCTCTTGAACACTGCCGAGGCTTGTCGTCTTGCTACAGTCTCTTGCTCGGGATGGTGGGAGGTGGCGCCGTTTATAGTATCATGTATCTTTTTCGCGTTCGCCAGTGGAGGTGATCCCGGTCCGCTTCGGAGGGCCACAGGATCTGATAGGAGATAGTTATCCTCAGAAACCTTAGCGCCTACTTTCATACAGACGTCGAACCTAAGTCAAGGTGAGAAATGATACACATAGGCAGGAACAAGGTCGTACCAGTGGGGCAGGACTATGTGGCATCGCAGCTTTTTTTGGATAGCCTTTTGACAGTACGCATTTCGAAGATCCAGAGCGATAATATGTGTCACAAAGGCTGATAGCCCAGTCGCATATGCACCCCCCATAGCCAATACCCCTCCATACACAGCCTCTTTATCGCCTTCCGGAATATCTGCGCAGCAGACTACGACATTCGACATGAACATGTGAGGATCGGGGCTGTGCTGTTTCGTGTTGGCGGGCTTCTGCTTTCTTATTGACTCTGGTATCCAGGCAGGCTTGACAACGGCCAACATAGCATCGAGGGCGTCCGAGTACTGGGGGAAATCGGCTGTCGTCGAGATAACGTGGGACACGTCCGAGAGGTCTTGTATACGGCCATCGCTGTCGAGAACGACGAAATCGCCTCCATATCTGACAACGTCTTTCCTCAACTGTGCATGTTAGTTGTCGTAGTACTTCAGGCAGTCCGTGACTGTAGCCTACATCTTGGATGGACCCGTCCGAGAATTCTGTGCTGGGAATGAACGCGAACCTCAAGCCCTTGAATAGAGTCGCTGATGGGTCCTCCATTATCGTGTCAGAGTTGTTGCCGGCCATGATTGCGTTGCAGTGTGTGTGCGCATGGATCGTAAGTGTAATGTTTGCGGTGTCCGAACGCGCCTACCACTTTGACGCGCTATTGAACGCGCCTACACGTGACCTGTATTCTGTCCACTAATTGGCATGAAACAATCAATATCTTTGAGGCACAGCATGTCTTCCATCTTGTGTCAACACGCCTAAGCATAGCAGATTTATGTCATACTGACCATATTTAATGTTTGTGCCTCATGCTTCACAGTGTCAAGACTCCAAGTGTACACACCTTAACCTCGGCATGTCTTCGAGTAATGGATGCTTGTAAGAGATTGATGATGACCTGGACCCGAACTGCCAGACACGTAATAATATCAAGGCTGTAGTAAAGGCCAACTCAAGTGAATTCACTCTATTATCACTCGTCACATAACACAGTACGAAATCGAATCTGTCAACGTCAGCACTTCATTTGGTCCCGCAGTGTCAAATACCGGTCAAAAGTCCCGCAGTCGATCTCAGTATACCTTCAGAGTTTCACGGGCCTACGGAACCACTTTGTTCATTATCCTACAGACTCAGATGAGAAAACCATCGATTCTTATCCAAGTCATTGATCCAAACGAGCGAAATGGCTTCGAAAGTCTTCCAAGTCCAAGAGCATGTCTTGCCTTGCCAACACATCAGGCAGTACCATCGCGCGACAGTAGACGGAGAAGACGGTGTATTGAACTTGGCGATTAAGCAATACACACCGTTGAACAATAAAAGCCCTAAGCCAAACGACCTCACCATCATCGGCGCACATGCGAACGGCTTTCCGAAGGTCAGTGTGGTCTGATGATACCGGGGTAATCTCTGATAGATGTGTCATATATAGGAGCTATACGAACCACTCTGGATTGAATTGCTCCAAAGAACCGAACAAGCTGGCATCGGTGTCCGTGGCATATGGATAGCAGATGTCGCACATCAAGGCGCCAGCGGTGTCCTGAACGAGAGCAAACTAGGAGATGATCGCGAGTTCTTCCACAGATACACTCAAACCAACCACTAACAACAAGCAGCATCATGGTTCGACCACCCTCGAGATCTCCTACACATGATCAACCATTTCCGCGACCAGATCCAGCGCCCAATCGTCGGCATCGGCCACAGCATGGGCGGATGCCACCTCGTCAACCTCTCCCTCATCCACCCGCGTCTCTTCGCCAGCCTCATCCTCGTCGACCCCGTCATCCAGAAATACACCACCGCCCAGGGAAACTACGCGCCCGCCCGAGCATCCTCCTTCCGCAGAGACATCTGGCCATCCCGCGCCGCCGCCGCACAAGCCTTCAAAAAGAGCAAATTCTACACCGCCTGGGACTCGCGTGTCCTCGACCTCTGGATCCAACACGGCCTCCGCGACCTCCCAACACACCTCCACCCCATCCCAGACGACCCAGCATCCCCATCCCCCTCTCAAACCTCCCCCCTACCACCCATAACCACCGAACCCACCCTCACCCCACAACCCACCTCTCCCCCCGTAACCCTCACCACAACCAAACACCAAGAAGTCTTCACCTTCCTCCGCCCCAACTACGCCCCGCAACCCACCCCCGACACCCCAGGCCCCCACCTCCTAACAACCACCACCCCCTCCCAAAACCGCACCACCATCCCCGACCTCACCCCCAGCCCAACCCCTCAATCCCCCTTCTACCGCCCCGAACCCACCCTCACATTCACCCAACTCCCCCACCTCCGCCCACCCACCCTCTACATCTTCGGCGCCCAATCCTACCTCTCCCAGCCCGACGCCCGCGCCGAGAAACTCGCTTGCACAGGCGTCGGCGTCGGCGGCAGCGGCGGCGCCCCCGAGGGCAAGGTCAGGGAGTATGTGATGCCGGGCGTTGGGCATCTGGTGCCGATGGAGAAGGTTGCGGAGACGGCGGAGCAGTGTGGTGTGTGGATTGTGGAGTCGTTGCGCGGGTGGAGGGAGGCGGAGGAGGTGGTTTTGGGGGAGTGGGATGGGGTGCCGCGCGGGGAGCGCGCGCGGTTGAGTGAGAGGTGGTTGGAGGCGGTGAGTGCGCCGGTGGCGGGGTTGCCGGCGGTGAAGGGGAAGGTGGAGGGGAAGGGGAAGAGTAATTTGTAGGGTGGAAGGGGGATGGTGTGTGGTGGTGTCTGCTTGTTATTGGGCTGGGATGGAGACGTCAGCGTGGGTCGCTTTGTCGAGGGATGTAGGCAGTGTTTGGAGGGTCAGGAATCTTGGTTATACAGACCAACATGGCCGCATCAGAGCGGAATCGACGTATGAATCGACCAGAAGTAGTCCACCATCAAATCATTGCAACTCAACCCGTTCATTCATTCATTCATCTATCTATCCACATGCGTTGCACAGTGCGTCGTAACACTCATATCGAACAGGTATACATCTCTATATCCTAATTTTGATATTCCCCAAAAAAACAGCCACCCACATATCCCCATCATGCCGGAACATACTCATCCGGAAACCCATTCGACGCGCACGAGAACGGCCCCCCGAAACTATCTGCATGATAACCATCAATAATACTCTGCACCGAAGCCTATTCAAGTCAGTCAGCAAGCCACAACCCCATCAGGACTCTCTCCACAGGGAGAACACTCACATAAGTCCCACCAGACAAAAAGAACAGCCCGATAAAAATCAAGACCACATTAACAACAATACCCACCCACCCGCGCCATCCACGAATCTTATAAAAATCCGGCCCATGATCCGCCCTCCGCATACGAATATACGCGACGCCCCAGAAGATAAACCCGAAGAACGAGTCAAACAGCGAGCTCATAATGCTCAGCAGATCAGAGAAGAAGGGGATGACCTCGGCAATGATGAAAGCGGCCACCCAGGTGAGCGCGAGGATACCGGCCCACACGGCCCAGCCAAGCGGGGTGTGGTGGCTGAGATGCTTGGTGCCCTTGAAGATGCGGAAGAAGATGAAGCGGGCGCTGACGCTGGCGTACAGCACGCCGAGGAAGATGAGGGTGGGGATCATGAAGCTGAAGCTGACCTTGCGGTAGGTGAGGTTGCCGAGGGAGCCGAAGGCGGGGGCGGTGTTGTAGTTTGTGCCGGTGTAGGCGTACACGATGGAGCCGACGAGGCCGAAGACGATGACTTCGCAGATGGTGACGGCCCAGAGCGCTTTGGGGAAGTCGCGGGGTTCCTTCATCTCGGCGATGAAGGAGGGGATGGTGATTTGGCCGATGAAGGTGTAGGAGATGTTCATGAATGCGTTTGTGCCCATGACGAAGGTGGTGCCGGCCTGGGGGATGGCGAGGACTTGGATGGGACCCTTGGAGGGGAAACCGGTGGGGGCGTCCTCGATGGCGGCGAAGACCATGGCGAGAAAGACGGAGATGAAGGTGAAGAATGCGGATGCGGTGGCCAGACGGGCGAGCACGGAGAAGGTGCGTGGGAGAGAGCATACCCAGCAGACGACGGCGGCAATGGCGGAGAAACCGATTGTGCAGAGGCCATGTTGCGAGATGGTGTTCAGGTAGTTTGCGCTGACGAGGCAGTGGAAGCCCTGGATGAAGGTGTTGTTGAGGAGGAACATGACGGCGGTCGCGTACCAGGCCCATTTCTTGTTCCAGAACAGCATCTGTCCGATGTCACAGACATCGCGGACTTCGGGGTGGCGCATGCAGAATTCCCATAGCACGAGGGACGTGTAGAGGACCATCGCAGCCACGAGGACGGTGAATATCAGGCCAGGTACCAGTCCGAGGATGGAGTACGAGTAAGGGAATGACATGATGGCCAGACAAATGTACTCTGAGAACAGCAATGCTGCCGTCTAACATGTCGTAAGCTATGGTGACGATGATACTTTGAGCCCGGGGTATATACAGCGGGCACAGGGCGTAATTACCTTCTGCCAACTGCAAGTCCTGTACTTGATGGGATTATCAGCCTCCAGTGCCATCTGCTTTCCAACAGACATGGAGCTGTCGCTGTCGTCGCCAATATTGCCGGTGGTGATAGGCTTGTCAATCCTGCTCATCCTGCGACCACCTTGGCCCTCGACATCACCGCCATAGTTGTCCGAAGCTCTTTTTTCATGCTCATCCGGAGTGAATAGTCCACTGTCTTTGTTCTGAGCCTCCTCCTTGCTGGAGGAGCTCTTCCGAAGACCTAGCGCCATTTTACTGACCGGATGGCCCGGACAAAAATAGTGGAATAAAAGGGTTCGTTACGTCTAAATAAGGGCAGCATTAATCACTAGGATTCAATGAGCTTTGGAAAAATTAGGCGCGCAATGAGGATACCACTCGATTGCGGGCTGATGAAGGAAGATAGAAAACAAGCGACGTATTATGGGCGCAGGCCCGGCTTATGAATGGAAAGCAGAAACTGGGGCGAATTAGAGAGGGCGTGGAGCAAAATGTAAGATCGACAGAATTGAACGGCACGCGAGTTGTTGGTGCAAGCCCCAAGCCCGATGGTGCACCATGTCATTTTGTAAAATCTGATGCAAACCTCTTCAAAGCCCATCGTCATAGGCTGCCAAGGTGTCACCAGCCTACCAGTGTTGAGAAATGCTCGTCCGACTCGCAGAGCAGTACAAGCTGGAAGTTCCTATATCATATCTCTGGTTGGTGGTTGGTGTAGCAGCAGCAGACAAAGAACACAAAGGACATAATCATCAAAGTGTCCATTATCCAGGTTGAAAGCTTGATATCGCTTGTTATGACTTGGTAAATGATGACCTCAGAGGCGTGGGGCACCAACACACTATTACTCGCGCAGATAAATAGATGGGACGGGGAGGATGTGGAGAATTCGTCGCGCAAAACCCGGTGGTTGGATCGGTTTCCGTAAATACGTCTTGGCTCGGCACTATTGATGCGAACATACGAGCCAGCAGTCATGTTATTGATATGTAAAGCGTTTCATCTTTGCTGTCTTGCGCCATAATAATTGATGAATCCCGAAATCGGATGGACGATTTAACGCTTACGTTGGTTGTGTCGTCGCTTAATCCGCCCGACTCGCCCTGTACATAATTACATGATAGGTACAGGGTCAGTAGAGATGACTTTAAATCCATCACCAACGCTTTTGGTGCGGCGCCAGCTCAATAGGCTGAGCGCTTCGCAAATGACATTGGAACGAGCCAGAAATAGTATAGGTAAACTGTACAGAATTCGCGGCCCAGAGCCTGTCGCAGACAAACTCTTTGCTTTGTCGTTCGCCGTGAGACTCGGTAAGCTTCTCAAGAGTATCTTGGCTTCATGTGGCGGCGTCCTGGGCAACGCTGTGCAACTCCGCAGTACAAGTAGATAGCGATTAGTCTACTACTCAGCCTGAAGACTCTGTGAGATAGCAATATCGTCACTTGGGGCATAATTCAAGTGGCAATCTCCATCGTGATGAGCATCGCGGGGTCGCGCCAACTGTAATTGTGGTCTCAGTGCAACCTTTCAGGGAATCCCCTCTGTGTCCCTCCCTGTCAGTGGTCGAAGTATAAGCCGAGTTCGTGCTATACTGGAGGGTGACTTCGACCCATCTCTTCCACAATTCCTCATTGTTCGTGATCTTCAACAATGGCACTCCTGTACACCAAGTGGAGTCGTCTTGAGTCTTTGCAGGATGTGTGCAGTGTCCTTCAGCCTAGCTAGCCGTGACTGCAGCTCAGGATCGTAGCTGTGACTTCCATGTCTTCCGACTAGTTGTGGTGCATAATCCAGATCGAGAAACTTTCTGCAAGGACGTACTTCCTCGCCCCATTCGCTCAGGGGGCGACATTGTATGAATCTTACACAGAGCCTGTGCTCTTGTTGCCTCTAGGAGCGAATCCAAATCCGCCTCTTCCGCTACCATCTGGGCCTCGCGGAGCCCGAAGGATCTGACTCTCCTTGGGAAGCTCGGAATTCGACTGGCTGCCCTCTCCAGCTCTTCTTTGAATATATACAGAGTTCGGTTTCGGCGCATATCCGGGTTCAAAAAGCTGCGACGACTTTTGGGGTCCACCGCGTGCAGGAGAATGGTCGCCTGACGAAGGAGTGACATTACCACTTCTCTGACCTCCTTTGCCCTTTCCTTTGCCCCTCTGATTTTGGTTTTGGCTTTGATATCTTGCTTGTGGGGAGGCCCGGCCTTGTGTTTCGACAGATGCGCCAACCCCAAGTTCAGCTCGGCGCTCAGCATACGCACGCTTCTTTTCTTCGCGATCTTTTGCCGCGTTAGCCTGTCGTTCCTTCAGAAGTATGTCTGCCCTCTTGCGCTCCTCCTCTTCACTGTCATCGTCGTCGTCGAGCGAGAGCCCCCCTATTTGACCTTCTACATCAGTCTTAGATAACACCTTTGGCGGTGGCTTGCGTGAAAGAAGTTTCATGGGTGCCCTGAACGGATCTCCCTGAACAGGCGTGTTGTCCCTCGCAGTCACGAATATAGGAGCAGGCGCAGGGTTATCTCTGGAGACAGATTAGCAGTCTGGCGGCTGAATATGAATCAAGCACACATACGCTGTGTCCCACAGCTCGCGTTGCAATTGGGCATGCTGCGCGCGTCTTTCGGCCTTGGTCAACTTTTTCGGTTTCTCTGGTTGAGTATCTTTTGCTGGTTCTCTCTGTACTGCAATCAGCCTTGACTTCTGAGGATAAACAAAGTGCGCAACTGACGTCTGCAATTTTCACCCAGTCATCGTCCCACGCACTCATGTTGCTGATACTTCAATGTACAGTTTTGTGTATGTTTGGGCAGTGCTTTCGAGCGCAACGTATGAGGATAATGAAATGCACGAGCAACTGTGAGGTTTATCTTGTGGGTTTTGAGAACGAACTACGACGCGGGCAGCGGGCTCAGTAAATGATTAGCGCTACGCGGGTGGGTACAGCCGAACTTAGGAGCCTCCCCCCGCCTCTCAGCCCCTGCAGCCCTAAAAGCGAAGTGGAGCTATGGCTAGTATCTGTGTATGTGAACTATGTGTTGTGAATCGAAAACATTACTGAACAGACAGTGCCTTTACTTGCTGACTCGCTCGCGACAATATGTCAGGTATGACTCTCGATCTCTTGGAACCAGCGACTCACCTCTAATCCAACTCTACAGACATCGACGGCGACTCAACGATGCATTCCTCACCCTCTGACGTAGAGGACATGGACGAAGAAGAAGAAGAACTCCCCACCGCCCAAGACGCACCTGCAACTCCAACAGGTGGTATAGCGCCTCAACATCCCCATGCCTTCGTCCCTCCATCCTCCGAGATCTCCCCTCCAAACTCACAGCACGGCCCGGCGCGACAGAACGCCTTCACGAGTACTTCACGAAACGATGGGATGCCCGAGGGGAGCCCGAGTGCGATGGCGCTGAATGCCAACGGAAAGAGAGCCATAGTGGAGGGCAAGAATGAAGCTGCTACCAAAGCGAGCAAGCCGATAGGGAGGTCGTCTAGCGGTTACGAGTGGAGTCGGCCAGAGGACGAGCCTGGCTGGACGTGGATGAATAGGAAGGCGGCAGAGGAGTACTACCGGGCGATGGATCAGATTGTGGATAAGGAGTATATGATCAAAAGTGAGTTGAGTCGATCCTCGTGTGGTGATATTTTTCTGACGCGAAGTAAGACAAATACGGCGATGTGTGCGAAAAGAGACAATGAACACAGGACGTAGTCGCAGCAAAGAGCATCCGGAGTACCTGAGGGACTCGTACACTGTATGTTTCAAAGAGCCTATATCTATGCCGCAGTACATGCGACTCGGCGGTAACAGATGGCCATAAAAGTACTGCGCGTACGTAGGCGTATATCGCTTCACATGTTCTAGCCAGCAGCTGGCTTGATCATATCCTTCTACATGACCTCTAGTACTCATGTCGTATGATACAGGCTCATGGTTCTACTCCACACATATTCAATAGGCGCCACACACCACATCAATCACTGTCTTCGCCTTCAGAATCCTCATCTCGTTCTTCATTGTCCTCCAGCGGATCTTCCACCAACTGATCTGCTCCATCTCCGTGATCCTCCTCGTCGTCATCTGGTTCGTCTTCCTCCTCCTCCTCATCCTCTTCATCATCCTCCTCATCGTCCTGATCATCAACCTCATCTTCCATCTCAGCATCTGTTTCTGGCTCTGCGCCATCCTCTCTCCGTGCCTTTTTGTGAGCAGGCGGCGAGTCTCCGTCTTTACGTCGTGCTGGTGATCTGAGACCTTTCACGCTGCCTTCTGCGGTGACGAAACTTTCTTCTGCGGGGGAGGAGGGAGCCTGTTGCGCGGTGATATTTTCATCGGCGAAGCGTTGGGCGGCGGCGATCTTCTCCTCTTTTACTTTGCGGCGGTAGGAATTGCGCTTCTCGGTTTGGATCGTCGCAAACTCTTGGAGATGTCATCAGTGCCATATAACTGCGTATCGTGGAAGATCTGCGTACTTGTATGTTCCTCGTCCAATCGCGCAGCAAAGCGTTCAAACTCGATGGCGTGCAGAGCATTGAGTACGTCTTGTGGTTGTATCGTCTTCTTGTTACTCCTCATCGTGAGTTCGTTCGCACTGATCAGAGCGTCAGAATTGTGCAGTAAGCTCTTTCGACTCCGCCTACTGTGACGCCAGGTAGCTTATGAAAACTGTTGCGCTTTTCTGTATCGCCAGTATCGCGTCTTTCTGCACCACCGTGTTTGGTGGTAGTGCGCCCCGTGCGAGTCGCTGCACCATTGACTTTGGAAGACCTAGGTCCTGGGAAGTGTGATTAGCGATTGAGTTCTGTCGTGGAAGCTCACTCATACATCTATGCTGATCCCATCGACCATGGAGGAGTTTCCCTCATCAGGTACTGTGGAAGCATTGCTCTTGCGCGGTGGCATGACGAGCTTGCAGAGTCGTATGGGTAGCAAGCAGAATAGAGCAATTCCAAAGCGAAAGTAATTAGTTGTTATAATGCGGTTTGATCGTGGTGAACAAGAGTGGGGAACTTGTGTATCCGGATAGAGTACGGGCGTGAGACGCGTTGAGTGCAAGCGCACGTCCCTCACCTACACGCGTTTTTAATTGATTCTCATTCTTTGATCATGACGTCTGATTTACAGGTCCAACAGTCCATTTGATATATCGCAAACCTTCGCTTTCTACCTGATGCTACTCTCTTCCTCATCTCGAGGTCTGATGCCGAGAGAGCCTCTGCCAATATAGTAGACGTTGTACCTCCTGACATAGATATCGCCATTCGTAAAATGCATCGTCACTGCATATACGCCGCAAACGTCTCTACAGATTTGTCTACTATCTGCATTACTTCCCCATGAATTGAAAGGTTTGCATATTGAAAAATGTAACCTTCATTTCTTATGGCATCGGTGTCTCCAAGGGAGAAAATAGGGCAACTCGCACAACAAACACTTACATCTCCTGTCTCTCCCGAGGCTCAGCTCAAAGGACTTTCCGATGCTTACTAGCTACAAGGCGACCAACTACGAATATCGTCCTTATTCTACGAAACCTTATCTAGTCAAGACTGCGAGTTTCGCTGCACACTTTCGGACTTAGCCGGTCTTGGTGTCAAGTCTCGAACGCCTCGGCGCACCACAGATGGTTCGTAGGTGACATGGAGAGATACTACGGTTGGTCCACCATAGCGACGAGAAGCCTATCCACAACAATGATAAATACTGTTGATACAGTACAACGTTTTTATGGATGCACTTGGACCTTAGTTGCATGTATGCGACCACGAGACGAATCTCACGATCATCGGACAAATTGAGTCGTAGGGCGATCTGGAGGGGCCCAACGATTTACTACCGTCCGGCCCAGGGTTCCAGCTGGATGTTGAACACCAACAGCGAATGAAACAACAGCATGGTTGGATTGCAACTTGATGGAACCTTTATCTTAGTGGCGTCTGATATCTCGCCCACTTGGTCGCTTTAGTCTAAGCAGCATGCAGGTTTCAAGGTCGTGGGCCGCAACGCCCTAATAGCCATGGGAGCCACGTGCAATTCACTTCAGCCTCTCTTTCAACTTGAAATATAAACTGTCGCCTTTGAACTTCGTTTTCTTGTCTAGAGACGCCCATGTTTCGCGTGATCACCTCCCCCATCCTCTGAAGAAGATTGGCAACAATCATGGCAACTGTTCTCAACGTGACGATTCACGGCGATCCCTGTCGCATCTACCACCCGGCCGACAAAATCACAGGGACCGTCTATCTTACAACATCCTCTCAGGAAGAATTCAAGCAACTAAAGCTCAATTTCCGAGGACAATGCAAAACGACGACGACAAGACCATACTATGTCTCCGGCAACGAGCACTCACTGGCGTCCCGTAAGATGCTGAAGGAGACTGTCACACTTTTTGATCAAGAAAAAGTTCTTTTCCAGGGGCCCTACAAGATGTCTCCCACTCAACACGAATGGCATTTCGAGTACACGTTCCCGTCGAAAAGCGAAACAACGTACCAAAAGGCGGTCAAATCGGCATATTATAACAAGCACCCGCACGACCTACCACCATCCTTCCGCTGCTTGACTGAGTCTTACAGGGGAGAAGGATACGTTCATTATAGCATTGAGGCTACACTCGTCCGTGGGAGTTTCAAGTCTGAGGTCAGAAATCTTCGATACCTCCTATTCCGGCGAAGGAGTGAACGGCCGACCCCTGCGAAGTCGCACCCCAATGTTCTCGAAAGTCAGCAAATTCAAATGCACGAGGACTTCAGGCCGCGTGTGGACAAGTTTGGAAAAGCTATACATTACAGCACTCTGCCAGTTCCAACTTCAGTGAAATTTACCCCTACTTTCTATGCGCCAAAAGCAGTAGCACCCAAACAGGTCATCGACCTAGGCCTATCGATCAAGCAGATCCAAGATCAGGTCAACTGTAATGACACCGAGATCTTCACCGTCGACCGTCTGAGAGTAGAGCTCTTGACGACAACAAGAGTAGCATGCAGAGGCGTACTCTCACAGACCCAAGACGTCGTCACAAGATCAGTCACATGCGTCGACAGAAAGCTCCCCGGCATCTCCATCCCCATCGACGACACGCCCATCGCCCTGACGCGCGGCTTCCGCCTCACAGACAACAACGAAGCCTCACCCTCATTCAAATCCTACTCCATCAGCCGCATCTACCAAATCAACATCAACATCTGGCTGCGCTGGCGCGACCAGACATTCCGCCTCAGCACCAGCATCGAACTCGACATCCTCCCCCGCTACGACCCGCCTCCTCCCCGCCGACAGCGACGCAGCGTGGACGCCGAGCTCGTCGATCCGCTCCCGCTCTACACGAGGACGGAGCATGCGCCCGCGTACGAGGAGGTTGCGCCGGCGCTCGCGAGAGATGTCAGAGAGCAGCGCCTCTTGTTTGAGCGCACGTTCAGCGAGTCGCAGCGGGACGCTTTGCTTGGGGCTACCTCGTCGTCGTCGTCGTCGTCGTCGTCGGGCGACGATTCCAGTGCTGCGGATGAGTCGAGCGATGACTTGTACACGTCCGACGAAGGGTCTGCCACACCCCCTACGCCGTTTCTATCGCGCGTCAGCTCTGCAGTCATTGCTTCGAGGTCGAGCACAGGCTAAGTCGACGAGCCCCGATTAGTTTAGGGTTTTCGCCTCGAGAAAAGTCAAAATGCATGCTCGCTCAAGCTGGGCGCGCTCCAAGAGGAAGCTTCATCCTGGGCAGCACAAGTCGACGTGGAACATTCAACATGAACGCAGTCCTGCATTATCAAATAACCGCGTCATTCCCACTCTCCGTCGTCAGCAGCCAGAGTCGTATCAAAGGGGCATCCCATCAATCCACCTCACCAGCACCGGCAGTCCCCTCTCTACCGACGAACGATCGACCATCGTCCATCGTCCATCGTCCAACCACCAAATATGTCCCTAACTCCCTGCCGCCGATCCTCATCTCAAGCGATCGATTTGCTGCAGCACAGACACCCGCCGAACGCCAGTTCCAGCAAATCAGAGGCACCGTCACCCCCACACCAAAACCAGACCAGACAAGACGCTAAATTAATAAAATCACCCTCACCAGTTATTAACATACTGTAGCAATCATCATCATCATCATGAAACAATAACACATGTTTCAAGGAGGCAGCAGGGCACACACACAAATAAATTATCGATATGAAATCTTCCCAATCTCCCAATCTATGCGAGATACCCGGAATTCGACCCTTGATCCCTTTTATCGAAAAATTGATGGCGGGAAAAACGGGGCTTTCGCGACACAAAACCCCGGATTTGCGTCTCTTCTGGCTCTGGTGAATGGATGCATTAGATGCACTAAATGCGGCACTAGAAATATGTGCACAACGATGACAACAAAGTTCTCTGCACAGCACGACATTGAACAAAAAGGGGAACGACGACGACGACGACGATGATGATGAGACTCGGTACTTGCAATGGTGTTATTCTCCCCGAGACAGGGGGGATCGACGATGTACATACTGTACAGCATGTATATGAATGACGAGGCGCGGGAGATCACCTGCGTGTTTGCATGGCGCTGCATGGCGCTGCATGGCGCTGCATGGCGCTGCATGGCGCTGCATGGCATGGCATGGCGTAGCATGGGCGCATGACGACGTTGTGCCACGTCTGGCCTTGTAAGGCAGGGATACGTGGACTATCCGGGGACTAATTAGCCATGAATAATGGCCTGCTGAGGCCGATGCGATGTGTCTGTCTATCAGTCTATCTGCCAGTCAGTCAGTCAATCACATCCAAGTCGCAACATCCCAAGCTTTTCGAAGCTGTAGATTAGCACACATACACACACACACACACACACACACA